TTCAATTTATTTCTTTCTAGGATCGCTTGCGTTCGTCGCTCGTAACTCGTCACTTGCATCGCTCGTTCATAATCGAGTGATGTCGGTTATTTCAATAATCGAGTACTCGAGCGAATTTTCGCTTGAGTTATCCCATCACTATTATTATATACTGACAGGGTTGAATGTCGCCTTAGTAACCGCAGTACACTTTTCTGTACTTTGATTTCAGTTCTTCACATTTTAGTGGGTTTAGCATCAAGTGAAATGCATATATATTTAGCTGTATTTTCGTAAGGACTTGTTGATTTATATATCTGGCTAGTACTCGATTCGTTTATTAGTGAAATCCATATGGACTGATTTTTTTCACCCAATTTAAGGCGCCATTTTGCTGCTCAGCGTTGTATTTCGATGACGGCAGTTTGTAACTTTTCGGTTGACTTGGAATTGTTGTCTGCGGTGGCTAGAATGTAGCAGTAACAGCATTTTCATTGAATGTAGGCAGATCGCTGGTATATAAGAGAAAAAGGACCGGTTCCAATACACTTCCTTGCAGTACGCCTGCGCCTGCTTGAATTTTTCTTAGGTTAGAGTAGACATCATCTTGCTTAATCCTGAAGTAGCGTTCGAATATGTATGATTTTAAAATTTCTGAATACTGGGTGGGAAGTGGGATACTGGGTGAACGTTTGTGCGACATCTAGAAATATTGCCGATCATACCTTCTTCTCTTCTAAATATTTCTCAGTCACACCTGTGAACCTTGTCAATCGTGGATTGTTGATTTCTACAGCCAAATTGATGATTGGGAATGAACTTTTTTTCCTCAATGATGAAAAAAAAGCAAATGATAAAATTTATATTTACTCTTTTAGTCTTAAATATCTTTTATGTCTTAAATTTGGGGCTTCATGTGCACTTACTGTGGCACCGCCACTGAGTGGAGGTGAGAGGAATGCTTTAAAAAAGAAGAGGGAGTTAAGCGATCCGAAAAAGTTGCCGAGAGATAATTTTTTAACGCTCCTAATTTTAAACTGGATTACGTCGAAGTGTCGCGCATATTGGGTTTCAGGAACGTCTTTTCTTACAAGAAACTTCTCCTTGTTTTGTCGTTGCCCTCGTCGTTTTACATCTATTTTTATTTATCTAGATACCGTTTGCCTGACGAGATGAATCCTTTTGTTGTCGATTCGAGTTTCTTTCTTTTTTATTTCTAGTTTATATTCTTAGATCTTATATAAGTTTATATTCTACCTAATATTTTAAGTTTGAATCATTGAAAATACTTTATGTAGATTGCCATTGCGGATGTGGTATATTCGCAATTCAACACTAGGTGCGTCAACCCGTAGTACCTTGTTTTGGAATCCTTGCTTTGTTTGGTACTACTACAAATTGGTTTCAAGACTTGTTGATAAAGTAAAAGCTCATTATACAGGGTGGTCCGAACTGTATTCCGGAAACTTCGGCCGCATATCTGCAGATAAAAATAAGTAAAATTGTATAAATGTATGTCTTAAAATGCTTAGTTTTGAGAGAGGAGCTCGGTTTTTTTCGATTTTTTCAAATACTTCTGAAGTAACGTCAATATTTAGATGAAAATTGGTAGATGAGTGTTTTTTGACATGAGAAATTTGATTTTGATGTCAATATGACTCCCATTTGTAGCTGGCGCCACCTACCTGTGTTTTAACTGATTTGAAGAGTAATAACTTTTCGTCGGTACCTGTATAAAACTACTGAGTAAAAAAATATACATTTACGAGTTTTTTACAACATAAAACAGTTCTCTTGGTAAAAATCGCTACGATTAATGGTTTTCGAGATATTTGAAATCGAAATTATCAATACCTGTCATCATTGACATAAATTAAACATGTTTACTAAATAGTTATTAGACTGAAATCATAAATTTGAAATCCGTTTGTGTCAAAAGTTTAAAAGAAACTGTTTAATCACTATTTTTTTCGCAGAAAAACTTATGATTAATTTAAAAAATTAAAATTTTATTATTTCAGTCGAATAACTATGCTCAACGTTGTGCTTATTTTTTGTCAATAATGACATGTATTGACTATTTCCATTCTAAATATCTTGAGAACGGTTGCTCGTAGCGATTTTTACCAAGAGACATTTTTTACATAAAAAGTCATGGAAATGTATATTTTTTTAGTCAGTGGTTTTATGCAGGTACGGTCGAAAAGTTATTACTCATCAAAACAGTTAAAACACATGTAGGTGGCGCCCCCTACAAATAGGAGTAATTTTGACATCAAAATCAAATTTCTCATGTCACAAAACTCCCAGATACCAATTTTCATCTACATACTGACATTACTTCAGAAATTATTTGGAAAAAATCGAAATAAAAATGAAACTTCTACACCCTGTACCTCCGAAACTAAGCATTTTAGAACATACATTTATACGAACTTTTTTACTTATTTTGATCTGTAGAATATGCTGCCGAAGTTTCCGGAATACAGTTCGGACTACCCTGTATATTGACAGGGTTGAATGTCGCCCTAGTAACCGCAGTAAATTTTCCTGTACTTTAATTTGAGTTCTTCACATGCAATTTCCACTTGAGGTTAGCATCAAATGTCATGCCAAAATGTTTAGTTGTATTTTCGTAAGGAACTACTTGTTTTTTATATATACTGGCTTGTACCCGATTTGTTTAGTAGTGAAATCGATATGGACTGATTTTTTTTATTCAATTATTCAATCAAAAAGGGCGCCTTACCTTTTGGTGTCCAGCGTTGTATTTCGGCGACAGCAGTTTGTAACTTTTTGGTTGACTTGGTATTGTTGTCTGCGGTGGCTAGAATTGCAATATCATCTGCAAATGTAACAGTAGCAGCATTTTCATTGAATGCAGGCAGATCGCTGGTGTATAATAGGTAAAGGATCGGTCCCAATACACTTTTCCTTGCGGTACGCCTGCTTGAATTTTTTAGGTTAGAGTAGACATCATCTTGCTTGATCCTGAATTAGAAGCGTAGCAGAAGTAGCGTTCGGATATGTATGATTTTAAAATTTCTGAAGTAGTACTTTGAGTTTATGGTTCAAGCCAAATTTAATCGAACGCTTGTGCGACATCTAGAAATATTGCCGATCATACCTTCTTTTCTTCTAAATATTTCTCAGTCACACCTGTGAACCTGGTCAATCGTGGAGTGTTGATTTCTAAAGCCAAATTGATGATTGGGAATGAACTTTTTTTTCTCAATGATGAAAAAAAAGCAAATGATAAAATTTATATTTGCTCTTTTAGATTTAAATGTTTTTTCTGTCTTAAATTTGGGGCTTCATGTGCACTTACTGTGGCACCGCCACTGAGTGGAGGTGAGAGGAATGCTTTAAAAAAGAAGAGGGAGTTAAGCGATCCGAAAAAGTTGCCGAGAGATAATTTTTTAACGCTCCTAATTTTAAACTGGATTACGTCGAAGTGTCGCGCATATTGGGTTTCAACAACGTCTTTTCTTACAAGAAACTTCTCCTTGTTTTGTCGTTGCCCTCGTCGTTTTACATCTATTTTTATTTGTCTAGATACCATTTGCCTGACGAGATGGATCCTTTTTGTTGTCGATTCGAGTTTCTTTCTTTTTTATTTCTAGTTTATATTCTTAGATCTTATATAAGTTTATATTCTACCTAATATTTTAAGTTTGAATCATTGAAAATACGTTATGTAGATTGCCATTGCAGATGTGGTATATTCGCAATTCAACACTAGGTGCGTCAACCCGTAGTACCTTGTTTTGGAATCGTTGCTTTGTTTGGTACTACTACAAATTGGTTTCAAGACTTGTTGATAAAGCAAAGAGTCATTAGATAGGGTGGCCGAACTGTAATTGACGGCGGCCGCATATTTGCGCAGATAAAAGTAAAGTACTCTTACCTGGGCAGGCTCGCCGGCGTCACGCCGACACCTGCGCGGCACCTTATATACGTATTTTAAAGGTGGCCCATACCAAATATGAATCAATTGTCGCGCTCTGAACAGCGGAATTAGATTTGGACCGCTGTAATCTTTTTTATCCGTGTCGCCTGAACAGGCGATTTGTGGATTTTTGTTTTGTTTATTATTATGTGTTATCTTTTCGGTACCGATGGTTTTGAAAGTGCATAGTTGTTTAGAATAAAGTTAACAGTTCGGCTGCTTGCAAATACGTTTAAAAATGGCAATTAAATATTCCGTGTGCAGACAAAGAACTTTTTTATTCAAATTATAGGGAATTACCCCCATACTGGAAAATAAGAGGACAGACGCTAATCATATCGAAAAAAGAAATGCTTGGGAGAAAATTACTGTGGATTTCAATGCTGCAACATCTGGAGAAGGTATGTATGTATGTAATGAGTAATCCATTAATAAAGGGTACCGGGTATATTTCACGAAGTAGTAATCAGAGGTTTGGCGTAAATTTTTCCTCTAATTAAATTGTTCGAAAAAAAAAAAATGCTGGAAATCATTTTCAAGTTTGTAAACGTCCGCTAACAGGCAAAGCAACAGTGATCAACTATAAGCATTTCAGTGTTATTACTTATTTATATTTACAGAGAACAATGACCCAATTAAAAAAGGCTATGGGACAAAATGAAGAGAGCGAGAAAGGCTGAGCTAGCCCAGGAGAGAGACGGGATCTGTTGGCAACAGGTGGTGGACCGCCCCCTGTTCCACCACCACCTCAACCAGTTATTGATGATTTGGTTCCGCATATTGCATTTGAAGTAGACGTTAGATGATTCCGATGGAGTTAACTTAAATAAAATAGAAGGTATGACATAAAGTTCTAGTAAATTAATTAGTTGCATGTTGGCTTTCTTTTCTTTATTTAAACGGTAACACTTTCACTAAAATGAGATAGGTATCTAATGATTTAAGTACTGACGACAGTCAATATTGGATGTTTTAAAAAATTATAAACTAAAATTCTTTCAGATATGCACCCACCTGGAACTGCAGTTGACTCATCCTCGGGTCAAAATACACGCTACTTCCACCAGTGATTGTTATGGAGCAAGGTAGTTATCCAATGATTTAAGTATTGAAAATCAAATTGATCTTTTAAAATTTCAAAACTAAAATTAAATTAAAATTCTTTCAGGTATGCAACCATCTGGAACAGCATTTGCCTCATCCTCGAGTCAAACTACACCGCGGCTCCCACCAGTGATTGTTCTTGAGCAAGACAAACCTTGTGTATCTACTTCTATGAGGAAAGTATCCCCAGTTTCTTCACAAGGAATTAAAAGATTAGGTAAGTACTTAATAACTCTTAGTGTAAAATATTTAGTGAAATCTGAGTTATAAGCACGCCTTTGGCTCGTACATATTTTTTAATAGTGGCCAATGTTTTCAGGAAAAACAATTCCAAGAGAAGAAATTAAAAATAAACAGATTACAGAACTTACTGAAGCGAGGCTGGCATTAATAAAAAAAGAAGAACAACAGATGGACGAACTGCATAAAATCCGGCTAGAAGAAGCTATTTATAGAAAAGAAGCGGCCAGATTGCAGATGCTTCAGGAAGAATTGAAGTTAAAACAGTTGCAAAATGAGAATTAGACAAATTATTATGTGTTAATCGCGAAGTGTATACGTGAAAAACTTGACTGTGTTTACGCAAAATAAATCCCTTTAGCAATTGCTTATGTATATGTTTTATTCCTCAAAAATTTTTAAAATACATCTTATATTTATTATCCCTGTAGGTGGGTGTTTAAATCTAAAAATAAATTATTTACTACTGGAAATGGTTCCGCACTATGGTTGCCCTCATTAATTGGCCTAAACGATTATAGTTTCCAGCATGGAATGGAATTGCTGGTATATCATCATCAATTTCTTCTGCTGGTTCATTATTTCACGATGTGTAACTGCTATGTTGTAAAGTACAAAGCAACAGCAACTATAATATAACAACTCAAAAGAAGTTTTATTTGCAAGCCCCTTTCGCAAACAAGAAAACATTCGCTTTAAAAAACCCCGGAACAAGCTGCCCTACTACATTCCTTTTTGTTCTTATTTGAGCTTCTGCTTGTACCTTCTTCTCCTTCAGTTTGTGGGTTTCTGAAAGGAGTTAAAAGATACGGCAGACATGGATATCCGGCATCGCCAAGCAAATATCCTGGTAGCTGCCTTCTTTTCAAATCTGGTTTTAACAGAGCTTCTGTTAAAATATAGCTGTCGTGGTAGCTTCCGGATATCTAGCAACAATATCGTAAATCTTTAAATCAGGCCCAGCAACTGCCTGTACATTAATTGAAAATATTCTTTTTCTATTTCTAAAGAGTTCCGCATTCGGTCCCTCCTGGATTAATGATATGGGGACATGTACAGTCAATACAACCAGTCACGTTTGGGAAGTTTCCAATTCTCTGGAAATGTCTTTGAACCTTGTTGCAAATTATTTGGAAATCTTATATGTTGTCGACTGTTGGCTGAAATTCTTCTTAGTAACTTTCTTTTATTACACGGCTTATAGTGGCTTGGTGGCATCCTCTCTTAAATCTCCACACACACTATCTGGAAAACAATTAATTTATATCCTATGTATTTTGTTTATTTTTATAAACAGCAATACATTTTTGCTCCCGCTTGCAAATGCTTAAATATTCTCGCCGTTCTTAAAATATTAGGAACTATGCCCCTTTTGTCTAACCTGATAACTATAAATTGTGTTTTAAACATTGCAAAGCGGCGATATCTAGTTGATAATTAATAATGTAAATACCTACTTACCTGGAAACTTCCGGTCGCGTAAAAACGCAGAGTCACTAGTAAACCTATTATTGGTGGAACAGGCAGCCCTCGATTGGTCATGTTTGTTCCTGATCTTCAACTATAGGTAACAAAATATAAAGTTGAACGATAGGTTTCTCGAGAAGCGAAATCGTTTTCTCTAAACTCCACATCATTATATTTTTTCTATGGGATTTTCCATGTCCCTAATATATATAAAAAATACGTACATACATGTTTAGTTTTTTACTTAATATATTACTACATACCATACTTAATAGCACACATGTGAATTTTTTATCACTTACCTACGTGGTATGTTTATTATCAATTCCAAATCCAATATCTCTATTTACATTATAAATCATGTCAAAATCGCGATCCATTTTTACCTTCACCTCTAAACCGTACACACACACAATCTTAAACTCGATCAAAACTACCGCAATCCGGCTTTCCGGCGAAACGACGGAGATGGTCTTTTCCACATCCAACAAATCTCCAGCGCGGCGCCGAGGAATATCAAAATGCGCATGCGTCAAGTCGGCGAACGAAGAACTATGCATTACAAATTTCACCCAGCGTACGGCGTTTCTTTGGCGACTCGCTGGCGATTGACTATGCATACCGGTGTAAGTGTCCCATATATGGGATACTGTCATCACTCGGAAACGAATACGCCTAATCGGAAACGACAGTGACTTTTAATTTTTTTCTATCATCATAATACTCGCGTGCAGGTTTCGCCTTGTCATTCAAACGGGCTTTGTGGCCACGGTGAGAGTCAGCGATATGAGAGTTAGGCAGACATAAGTTTTTAAAGTGCTTATATGATGCGATATAAGTTTTTAAAGTGCTCAAAAAATAAGCTTTTCTCATTGTATATTATGACAATGCATTATTTACATGTTTGATTGTTTTAAGGGTATTTTCTTGTCTGAATGTGTTTAAAAAAAATCTGATATACGTTTTGATTAGTTTACAGTGTCTCTTTTATAGTGGTTTATATTTGGGTATCTATTCTATATTTAAGTGCCTTTATGTTCATCTTATTTTTGAGAAAAGTTTATAGTTTAAATTAATATATGTAACAGAAAATAACTATTAAGATCTGCAACTGTATGACTGAGAATAACTAAGAATAAACATTTTTGATTTTAATATAACACAAAGACTAAATAATATTTTATATTCGGTTAAATTCCTCCAATTATTTGTTTTAGCATTGGTATTGGTACCAATCACTAATCTTGAAATCGTAAGCCCTATTGCAAACTATTTGCACTATGGTATAGTTGTATAGGAAAAAAGTTTTAGGATAAAAAATAAATTAATTATAAATATATAAACAGTTATTGGTAACAGTTGCATATACGGTTTTCGGCTATTTTTGGACTATATAAGAAAATTTTTATATACTCACATTCTATTGACCTTAGAGATTGTAAATATGCTGGGGAGAAGAGAAATTGTGTTTCTTTAAGTATTTTTTCAACCAAACGAACTTACGGGACTTGGGGTACGAATAGGGGTGCTGGGCGGAGTAAAAGCGTACAAATTGGTAAAACATGACATACAAATATAGAAAAATCTCATTTTCCATTTATAAAAATTGAGAAAATATAGATTATGCACGGAATTTCAAAACATTTTAATTTAATATTTGACATATTTGACGTTATGAGAATTTTAACACTTGATTTGACATGACACCGACAGAAGGGAAAGCAATGTTGCCAGTCCCACTGAATTTTCTTTAAAATTTTTATATCTATAGCAAAAATCAAATTAACCCAAATAAAGCAAATTTAATTTAAATAAAACAAACATTGAACAATGAAAATAATATATTTTGTTTTGATGAAATATATAAAAATAAAACTTTAAACTAACAAAATATAAAAAACAAAACCAAAATAACGATTCATTCTTGTGTTTTGTTTTGTTTTGTGTTTTCTTCTTTTTCACTAGATTAAAAAATAGTTTATTATATTTTTAATGCTATTTGGGATCCGTTTCACTTTATGGCCCTCAAAATTAAGAAATTTTCTATAAACTAAAGTGTCTATTTTAATGCTGTTAAGACAAACATAAAGAGCTTGAGTTGAGAAAAAATGCAATTTTGGTAAAATAAGAGAAAAAATTTTCTAACATACAAAAAAAACAAAGAATCAAACCAAACAAGACCAACCAAATCTAAACCAAACCAACCAAAATCAACCAAAACAAAACCAACCAAACCGCTCAGTGTGTTTTCATTGCTAGAGTTATAACTGAGCAATTCTCTATACCGGTGGTGGCGATTTAAAAAATAAATAAAAACATTTTAAAACCTATGACGTCATTTTCCCTTTGAAAAAAAAAGGATGCATGAAATTCCGGACAATTTACTAGCTGATTTGGCAACTATGCATCAATTCACAATGTTTGTCAAAATTCAACCTTCACAACTGTCAGCATATCTTTCAATGTAACCTGCCAATGATTTCTGAATAAAACAGTTCTTCATAGTTTTTTGAAGAAATTTTACATTAAAAACTTAATTTAAGGATTGTAAAATGGCTGTGTTATGAGTATCTTTAATCAGAATATTGTTTTTATCCCGCCCAGCACCCCTATTCTCTCCCCGGTCCCGTAAGTTTGTTTGGTTGAAAAGAAACCCAATTTCTCTTCTCCCCCAGCATATTTACAATCTCTAAGGACAATAAAATGTGAGTATATAAAAATTTTCTTATATAGTCGAAAAATAGCCGAAAACCGTATATGCAACAATTATCCAGTTATTATTTACATCAATACAACTCACCTTCTTAACAGCACTTAAGGGACATAAAGAGCTATTTCCCGTTCAAAATATTTTAATAAGGTTGCGATGAGTTTTTTGCAGCGCCTATTAAGCTATCTTCTAATCTTCTAAAATCAACAGTGTTCGACTGCAAGGTCTACTAGTAAAATTTGTTAAGCTTAAAGTATCACAACACACACATTTGAAGCAAAAACTCGTAATACAAAACTAAAGTGTCAAAATGAATGACAATGTCAGGAAATAAATAAATAAATGTATCAACTTCACATTTTGTACAGCAGAGCTACCACCTGAATCCCCAGCGAGAAATTTAAATTCCAGTTAGTCAGTCCGGCGCCGAATATGTCCATGATTGGTAGCAAAGCATTTAAAAATCGCGCCCTCGATTACGTAACTAAAAGTTAATTGGTATCGCTTGTAGATGGCTCTCAAGTCACATTCGCGCTCAAGTCTGTGCGCGGCTTAATGTTAATCATTTTATGTAATATGAAGCATCATGCTCTACCGGGTGCGTCTCAAAAGTGGCTCACCCCTATAACTTTCTTATTTTTTCAGTTAAAAAACGAGATTTGGTATAATAACATTAGTATATGACATAAATTAGGATTGATTGACGTATTCAATTATTTTAGAATAGAATGACATATCATATGTCAACTTTTGACATTTTTACATATAGTTCTGTATGGTTAAAATTATAATTTGTGGTTCGTAAAGAAAATTTGACTCGAAATACCAAGTGTGTGGTCGAAACCACTCTTGCAACTCCCAGTGGACGATATGCCAAGAACGTACAACTGTGAGAAACATCTCAATGTAGTATTGAGCAATAAAAAGAATTGGAAGAGAGAAACGTCGGCCCAGCAGTTAAAAGACCATAACATAACTTGGTATACTGATGCTTCCAAAACCAATACGGGAACAGGGATGGGAGTATTTGGGTCGAGAACTAAATACTCCGAACCAATGGGCACTTACTCTTGCATCCTACAGGCAGAAATCTACGCTATCGAAAGATGCGTACAACTTATCTTAGATAGGAACTATCGGAAACAAGAAATAGCCATCTTATCTGATAGTCAAGCAGCGTTAAAAGCGATCAACTCAGTATCAATTAATTCGAAATTGGTCAAAGAATGCATAGAGAAGCTGAATAAACTAGGCATAGCAAACAAAGTCCTCCTACTCTGGGTGCCTGCTCACCAAGGGATAGAAGGCAATGAAAAAGCAAATGATCTAGCTAGGAAAGGAGTGAGGACTCCACTAACTGGACC